ATTGATGGGTCAATCCATGTGTCCAGCCGGCAAAATGTCTGGCTACTCCGAAGAGCAATGCTTTCACCTCCTTCGAAAACCCCGGGCAGCATGACGGATGCTTCAAAGAGGCGCTCAGACGATGCCGCACCCTCAACGGCTCCATGCCTGAAGCAACGCCCTCTCGCTCCGCAGGCGAGTGGAAAACACAGTGATGATCGCTTCCCACCTGGCATCTCCTCTCTCACTGAGAGGGGAAAGACAGTGCTGCGATATGGTAAATTCGCAAAGGCTGATCTCACATATATGCTGAAATGGCCGATGATTTGTCAAAGGAAAAGAGCTCATACTGCGCTTGGACTAAGTCCCAGAAGGACAGGGCAAATCTACATGCGCAGCTTCGTGATTTTGGCAGTTACCTGAATGCTCGCTCAGGAGACAGCGAGTCAGGTGTGATTTGCTATCCTGGCAGCACCCTTCCCCGGCAGATGCGGGGATGAAGGAGTTGAGAAAGCCTTCGGCAGCAGCACATCCATGTGCCAGCGTGTGTTCGTTTGTATGCTTCACTATAAGCCTGAGAAGGGCAGAGCTTGCTGGCAAAGGAAAGATTTTAAGCAGTGTCAAAGCAGCCGAAGCCACCATGCATTCATACCGCGGGGAAACTTGCTCGAGGAAAAAGGAGCCCGCGCGACCTTCAGGAGAAGGGTGTTTTTCCGCAAAATATATAACGTATAATATATAATATATATATATGTGCGACGGCATTTTTTGGTACTTAGCTCAAATACACTATCTCTTACGTGGGGGCCCTATCTCGTTTAGACTACTTAAGCAGGAGCTCATGTCACAGCATCTCGTTCAGACTACTTTTGTAGCAGGTCACACTATCCCGTTCAGACTACTTTAGTGACATCAAGCAAGTATCTCGTTTATGTGGGTGCCCTATCTCGTTCACAAGCGAATACTGATGATAGACAAACAAATAGAGCGCGCCGTAGACTACTTTAGTAAAGCCTAAATAAAAGTGGTTGCTCATATAGTGTGTTCAAATGTTTGCAGCAGTTTTGCCGCGTCACCCACTGGAATGGAAGAAAGGATGTCAAAAAAACAGGCAACTTCTTTGGCCACTGAGGTGCAGTTAGCGCGGGAAACTGTTCTACCTCAAGTGAACGTGGCCACAGCTGAAGAGCTGGCTAGCATTGGGTTCAAGAGTGGGCAGTCCACAAGATCAGTATGCTCACTTTTGCTCACTGCGCACTCTGCACCAACAGCTCTGCTCTCGTTTCCACCTGTCACAAGTGTGTTGAGCATAGGGACTCATCTGCTCAGAGGCAATCTAGTTTGTGAGGGCCTCGTATCAGATGCTCTTGGGTAGGTGGCCCATGATTCAGGGTGGTTCCAAATGCCACATGCCGGATATGCTCCCGTTCCTGTGTTTGGTCCCTGCAGCCTGCACTTCCAAGCATGAACAAAAACCGCAGATCTGTTCCAAGAACACTTTGAGGTACGCGCCACGCGCATTCCATGCAGCCACATTCCGACTACATCTTCTTTCCCTCAAACACGCTTTCACTGTTTCCGTCTGCGTTCGGGAGGCGCTCGAGCGGCCGTGCGTCCACTGGTGAGGGCGTGGGGTTTGAAACCAGAGTGGTTGAGGAAGAGTGATGGGAAAGCAGCACCTGAGAGCATCTCAGGATCGCTGGTTTTCAATGTTGTCTCACCGGATTGTGATTGTCCACGTCAGCACCGCCGCTACACGATGTAGGTCGCGCAACATTTGGATACTGAAGACTGATGGAAACGCGTACTGAAACCATCATGAACGCTACGATCGCCTTGCTTTCGCACAACTTCAGGTTGCTGATTGGCATTCTGCTCAAGAATGTTAAGGGTTGAGTTCCGGCTTGTGATTTGGCAATGTTTGGCCGTTTGGTTTCTCTTCTTCAAGGAAGCTCCGCCGCCTTTGGGCAGGGGAGCTTCCTTGAAGAATCGTGAGTTATCCTCTGCCCAGTAGCTAGTACAGTAGTATCTAGCAGCTTGCTTAAGCTACTAATGGCTACCTCTTATGGATTTTACGGCCTACCCCCCAAAAAAATATAAAGTACCGCGTGATTTCGTGAGAGCTTTCTACCAGGAAGCTCGTCTCGATCACAGGCTCAGAGAAAAATGACACTCGGATAGTTTTCTGAGTTTGGAGAGTTCGCACAATTCTTGGATATTTTTGGCAAATGCATCAAGTTCGCTCAATCAACAAACGCACTTATGTAACTTATTGTGATACCTGAGAAGCTGCAAAACGAAAGCCAGCGTTGTTTGTCCACGAGCACGTTGTTGGTATATTTGGTCTTAAACATAGAACACCATTGGACATTCGATAGGCATCCCATATTTGTTTGTTAACTATCCTTTTGCCAGCCCCGGGCCTTGCGCTTGAAGAGAGATAATCAAAAAGCGGTAGCTACCCTGGGTCCGCGCGCGCGCATGCGCCTTGCTGGCTCTCGGTCTGCCCTAGGTTTAGGCGCGCGCGCGGACCCAAGGTAGCTACAAAGGCAGTTGCCAGATATAGCCTATAGCACTTCAATTTCCCTTTCCGTCAACCGCTAACATGACAAACGTGCAGCAATCCACGTACCCAGGGTAGCTACAATTCAGTGACCAGGTACAGCACTTCAAGTTCCCTTTCCGTCAACCGCTCGATAACCTTTACACACGCACAGCAACCCACAGCTTTGAAGTCTCATTCGTGCTTTGAACTTATATATAGGTGTTTAAGAAGTATAACAACATAGCATTCTGCGGACCCAGGGTAGCTACAATTCTGTTGCCAGGTATCGCACTTCAATTTCCCTACCCTGGGTCCGCGCGCGCGCGCGCGCCGCAGACCCAGGGCAGCTTTAAGGCAGGTATACCCAGGGTAGCCACAATTCAGTTGCCAAGTTTAGCACTTCAAGCATCCGAAGACAATTGCATTTCTGAAAATCACAAAACAGCACCTCCAAAACCTTGCTTCCGTGCACCCCTACACACCACCTACTTTCGAGTGTGCTTTCTCAGGCCACACCCCAGAAACCCCCTTCTTCCTCAGCTGGCGCCTTGCCAGGTATAGATACCCAGGGTAGCTACAATTCAGTGAACAGGTATAGTACTTCAAGTTCCCTTTCCGTCAGCCGCTCGATAACCTTTACACACGCACAGCAATCCACAGCTTTGAAGTCTCATTCGTGCTTTGAACCTATATAGGTGTGTAAGAGGTATAGCAACATAGCATTTATACAGACCCAGGGTAGCTACAATTCTGTTCCCAGGCGCGGACCCAAGGTGGGTTGCTGTGCGCGTGTAAAGGTTATCGAGCGGTTGACGGAAAGGGAACTTGAAGTACTCTACCTGGTAACTGAATTGTAGCTACCCTGGGTGTCTATACCTGGCAAGGCGCCAGCTACAGCTTACCATTCAGATGATGCAAATGATGCAAACTGCATTTCTTGCATCACCACCCCCTCTAAAATCTCAAAAAATCACCTCCAACACAAACTCAAAAACCGTACTTCCGCACACCCCTCTCCACCACCTAATTTCGAGTTTACGTAGTGCTTTCTCGGGCCACCCCCCAGACCCCCTATACTCACTTCGTTCGCCAAACACAACTCAGCTGGCGCCTTCTACGAAGGCTGGCTTTCGTAACAAACGTCCCCAAACTTAACTACAGAGCTATCACCAATTCTGGAGGGATCTCCAAACACACTTGCTGAAGAATTCTGGAAGTTCACAAGTGTTGATCCAGAATCCAAGAAAATTCATGACCCTGAAGAATCTTATGAACGAATCTCTGAGTTTGGAGAATCCTCACTTCGCTCCTTTTTCGCTGAGCTTTATCGATTCATGACTCCCGGTCACTGGTCACTGGTCTTCATTCGGTCTTCATGCCGTCGCATAAATCAAGACCAGCAGAACTGAGGAATTCTCAAGTCCTTCTCTTCGTTTCACCTCAACACTTTTCAATTCATGTTTAAACTTGCATGTTTAACTGCTTTGTTAATTGAAGTTTTAACACTACAAGCGCCTCTTCAGTCATCATAGACCAGGCAAAACATGGTCAAACAAGCTAGCTAGTAGCTTGATGTGGCTTATTGGTTCAGCAATGTAGTGCGAAGCGGTGTCTATCCCATAGGGGGAATGATCCGGATCATCCTCTATGGTTGACATTGGGACATCCCAAACGCAATCTGTGTCTCGTCAGAAGCTCAGATCCACCTGACACCTTGCAGCCATGGTCTTTGCAGTCTCATTTCCAACTCTCCAGGAAGGAAATGGGCTGAGGCTACACAACGAGAGCGGGATCTCCTGCGCCAAGATTCGATTCAATATGCCAGACTGTGCCGGGCGCTGGAATATGTGCTCACTTGTGCTCTTTCGCTGGCTATCCCCCAATCCAGCCCATGTTCCATCCGCCAGCTGGGTCCTTCCCCAGCCGTTCGAGGAGCAAAGCTCTCCATCACGAATCCTGCAAATTCTGTCATTCATACATAACTGACCGCTGGGTTCAGTGTGGTCACGGGCAAGTCGCGGGAACTAGGGAGAGAAACCTGGGAAGACAAGAACAGCTACTCCACGTTGCACAACGCTCCTGTTGTTGTTCGCCGATGCCTCCATCGCCCCTAGCTACACACAGGACACCAGCTAGGCAAACTACACATGAACATCATTCCACATCAGCATTCTCTAGTTCAACCTCACGGGTCTTCATGTCATTCTCCAAAGTCTCTTCGTCAGTGCCACGAAGCTCATTGTAAACCTGCTGCGTGATGTGGTCTTTCTTCATGCTCTTGCAAATCTCAACGTTCTCACCATGGATCAAAGCCTCTCCTTGCAAATCAATGAATTTTCGGGCCTCAAACTCTTGGTTCACTGCAGTGCTCAGGACCTTGCGCACCCTTTCCTTGAAGGAGTCTGTCTCCCTCTGGCTCAAGGTGCACGAGGTGTTGCCATGATGCAAACGCTTGCGATTCTACTGCATGAAGCTTTCAAGGGTCCGTGATCCACTTTCCAAGAGACTCCGGTGGTATGATTGCCCCTGTGAAGTTCGCGGCTAATGCACGTGTCTCACGTCCGGACATCTCCTCACTCACTGCACTGCCGTCCGTGGAGGTGGCCAACACAAAGGCACCCTTGTTGCCTTGACCACGCGTTGAATAGAGCCATGGAGGGCCAGACCAGAGCCCTCGGCAAAAAACACCTATGTAGTCCGCAGCCGAGAAGACTGTCATCACAAAATACCCATCATCAGAACTCTGGACTCTGGAGCCATCCTCCACTTGCTCATGACCAGGGAAAATGCCTTTCAGTTCATTGGATTGCAGGGGTGCCTTCGCCTTGTCCATACCAAACTGGTGATATTCACTGCCCCTCTCGGACTCAATGAAGCCATTGCCGGTGTGTGGATCCGCCCAAACTGTAGTGGACCCAACCTTTCGGTCAAGGCAGCCACCAAACCGTCCAGCTTTTCCCGTGCATGCGTTCACGAACTCCGGGCTGATGCCCCCATGCATGGCCATGAGCCTCCCAGGTGCCACAGCGACATAGCACCTCCTCTTTGAAACCAATAGTGCCACCAAAGTTCTGGCGATTCATGGTTGCCTTGCAAAAGAATGACACCTTGAGGGCACAGTGCCTTCAGGGCAATTTTCAAGCAAGCTCATGGATGCGCTAGCTACGTGAGCAGAAATCTAAACTTGGATGTCGCAGTTTACTAAACTACAAGCAGCCGTCTGCCAAGACCTGACAGTGATGAGCGCAACAAAGAAAGAAGCAGTGGGGGATCGGTCAGACCGTAGCGATGCACTTGTTCCTAGTAGCGTCCTTGCTCCTAGTAGTGATGCCAGGAGCCCCTAGTAGCGTCCTTGTTACTACTAGTAAGGCACTTGTTAGTAGCAGCGGATTCTCTCTAAGGATTTGCTCGGGTTCATTGTCAAAGATTCCCTTGCAGGAGCGCCTTCTCACAAAACACAAGCAGTCACCACCGGCAAACCTGCAGATCCTGGAAAAACTGGTGGTCAAGAGGGCAATTGTCTTTGCAAGTAAGGTTTCTGATATTCATGCACCTAACGCATCATTCAACACAGCTTATCTTGCAGTTGTAGGTGAAGTGTAGTCACTTGCGGGTCCTCCTTCACAAACACTGCGCTACAACCAATTGCTTCTAAGCCAACATATGACCTAACAATATCTAACAATATCTGAACAATATCTGATACAAGACCAGTGACATCTTGGAAATGCTGGCCTTGTAGGCCAACAGAAGCAACAGCAGTTCAAGATAGTTCAAGTCCTCTTTCACCTCGATCCACATAGTCACCTAGAAAGACGTACTGGATGCGCGGATCGCGGAGGAGCAAGGATGATCCATCTAGGGGATTAAGACCCTGGCCCGTGTAAGTCTCCATGATGCGCACCAAGTAAGCAATGAGGTTGAAGAGCTGCCCGTGAAGATCTCCGATGATTACGAGGTATTGAACCTCTTTGGGGATCTCACGGCTGTAGCCATGCCCTTCAGCACTTTGAAACTCGGGCATGAGAACCTCTTCCGTCACTTTTGACAGAAATCTTGTCACTTTCCATTTCTCCAATATCGGTAGATTCCGATACATGCCATTCATAAGTTTCAGGGCATCATGTTCCAGTGGCTGGACAAAGTTCATAGCAGTTTCTTGCAATCTAACCTCCTTCAGTTCACAAGACTTGCTTCCACTTGACCTCCAAACCTGGGCCTTTTGCGCCTCTTTGGAGTGGAGGACTGTGCAGGTCTCCACACACATAGAGTTTCCTCAGACACACCGGTCACCTGGCCTTTCCGGTCTCTTGGAATTGCCACTGTCCTTTCCATTGCGCCTTAAGCTCATAGCTTTGTCCATTGCACTTGCTAATGCAGCAGCGGTCTTGACAAATGCCTTTTTCTTCCTTTGGATGCCGGCAATACTGCAGTCCCCGCCCACTTTTTTCGCCAGACTTTGACAGTTTTGGGTTCCTCATTGAATTGGACCGTGCAGGTCTCCTCACACATCTTTTCACCATACATATTATTGAAAGGCTGATTCTCTTTCACCTGACAATCCTGGTATCGAATCTTCTCCCCAATGTCTCCATTGAGGGTATAGGTTTGGTCACTGCACTTGGCACTGCGACACTTGGAAAAAACACGGTCATGGTGTCGCAAACCGTCCTGAGTCCCGCGCATGGCAATAACCTTCAGGGGCAACATGAAAATAAGTATCGGTGCCCAAGCCATCATCGCAGCCATGGCAATGTCTCCAAGGTGGTCGGAATGGATTTCTCAACACTGGATTCGTTAGATCACTCGCTTGAACGCTTGAACCGAAAACATGTACCATCGATCTCAAAAAAAAGTCCCGAACTGCCAGTTCCCACGTGACCCATGCAGTCGCATGCAGTTGTGAAAGTCTGTTGGCTGTTGGCATCTCTTCGAGCGTCAGCGTGCTCTTCAAAGGCACAATCGCGAAAACCGGTGATTTGCCTAACGTGTATCTCAATATCTGAAAAACATAACGTAAGGGTCGTTCGTTGCACCACCGTCAGGGATGCGCAAAGGCGGGGAATTAAGTTCCATTTCAAACGCGAGGCGAGAGGAGAGAAATGCAGTAAGGAGAAAAAGATATGAAAAAGACCTTCGATGAATCTTTCACGCAAAAACATGCATGCACGAAGCTTATTGCGGATCTTTCACGGATGATTCGGACGATTGCTTATCTTTGACCCCCTGCCAGTGCATTTCAGGATCCATGCGGTTATGAAAACCGGAATATCTTCGGTTTGCGCAACAATCAAGGAAGTCAGAGCGCCCAAATAATCACAGCGAGCCTCCGGCACCTATAGCGCCACCATGCTTTGCTGCTACGCAGCCTCGAGACGGTTGACGAAATGAAATCCACGGTGGAATGATATTCGTGAGCTACGGTTATGTTCCGCCTGCTGTCACCCAGGGCTCCTATCCCAACTGCACACATGATCCAAGAACAAGCAAAAGGAAAGCAACCCAATGTCACATCTGCAAATTATTGGTCTAACACTAATACTTGCATAATGCCTATATATATATAATATGATATATACAATTATATGTATATTACTATTTTGCAATGATGCATAAAAAATCCTCAAGCCTAATGTGCTGCCCGATTCTGAGGTCGGTATGAACATCAAAGAGTTTGCAGCAATTCGCACACCAAACATTGCCAAACACCCCATTTTTTTGTTTGTAGAGCACGCAGGTACAGGTCAAAGGGAAGCCATGTGGCCAGTACAAAGCCTCACTCACGCAACCAGTGCTGATGCAGTGGCAGATTGGTACTTGAAAGTCGCAGGCAGGGACTTCACTCGCTTGTAGTATCTGGCCAGGCGATGAATACGGCTTTCCACTAGAATCAAGCGAAACTTGGCATCCTTGTCCTTGCGGTTCTTGTCCAAGTGCTTTCGGATAGACACTGCTTTCTTGATCAAGTAGTACAAATCCTCTGGCAGAGTTGGTGCCAAGCCATTGGTCTTCAAGATTCGCAAGATGTGGTTGCC